ACATCCTCCCAAGTTTCGTGTGGTGCTCCGTGGAGGATAATCTTTGTACTCACCTAGCTGTACTCACCTAGTTGTGTTTGCGGGGATTGAGCTCTTATTCTTTGGTCCCGCCTCTCAACTGTCAATCAACTGGAAATTTGTCATTAGCTATTAGTGTGCATTGCCCCCCCCCCCCCACACTTGTGTGTGGGGACAATGAAGAAATCCAGCATTAAATATAATGAATGCTTCTGTCTGGTGACTCCTTGATGGCTCCATGGGCCTTGTTACCTGGCAAGGTCAATCCAATTCAATCCAAGCCAGGCCCTTGCAAGTCATATATAAGCATACCGTGGACCAGAGACCAAAATCTGGTCTCTTAAAAGTGCCCTCTAAAGAAGTGCAAGGAGCAGGAGACCGTACATCATCCTAAACAAAAAAAGGGTTACCATACAGGTGGGAAACCAAAAAAGACAAATTGTAAGGTAACAAAGCACAGAAAACCACTTGCTAATAATTACCTAAGTGTAGTGGCTAGGATGAGAGCTACATTCATGATGTCCTGTCTTCCCAGTATTCTTGTCGTATGACACTTTGAAACTACTGACAGTTTTGGCATCTGCTGCCTTCTCACTTAGTTTGTTCCAACCATCTACCACTCTGTGTGCAAAAGAAAGCTTTTTAATGTTAGTTTCACCTGTGCACCACCAGGAAGAGCACCTTCCTCATCGATCCAACATCCTTCAATCCTCAATCACGTAACCATGAAGACAGAAAATTGAAGCCCCTGAATGGGAAAAGAGGGACCCAAGAAGCCATCAAGGGCCCAGCAGAAGGAGGTGTTTCAGACTCTCACACAATCACTTGAACATATGATGGATGCCCCAGGGACTCTTTCCCACCAGCCAGAGACGAGCATCCAAACTGAGCAGGGATGCAGGCAGAAGATGAAAACCAACTGAAAATCCCAGACCAAGCCCAATCAGGTTTGAACCTGCAATGAAACTAAATGGGACTTTTGCCAATTCACCAGAAACCCAAACCTAGCAAACTAGAAAAGAACCAGCTCCCTGGCTTGCAGACTGGCTAGGATCCCAAACCAGCCAGTCCATTCACTGAGACAAGCTAAGAAGCAAACCCTTAACCCCTGAAAGTGACAAACCACTACAAGTGCCAATCAGGTGAATGTCTAGGGAGCTAGATTTAAGCCTAGATGAGAACATAGATGAGAACCTAGAAGTGGTAAGCCTGATGTCCCACCACAAAACACAACCAGGCCATGAACCAGAATAACATGCCAATAGGCATCCCATAGGTCCAAGGAACACTATCTAGGAATTCACCTGCAACACCAGGCAGAGCTAAGCTAAGGTAGTCATGTGCAAAGTTGGATAGCGAATGAAATGATTGAAACCCAAAAGGTTGAAAATGTACCATAGGACTGGCAAGTTCCACTTGGGGACTAGGAAACACCGAGACACTCACTGCAGAGTAAGGGTTAACTTGACCACTCCAGCACTCAACCACTCTTATGGCTGAGGAGAGATAGAGCAGACTGCTGGCATCAGACCCCAAACACCTTAGAAGGGTTTCAGGACCAACACCACTGTAGGCCTTGGGACAATACATAGAATACCCTCGTATCATGGGACCAAGAGCTGGCAAAATGTGTCTGACATCCCACATACTGCTGTCAAAGGGATGAACATCAAAAGAGCCAGCATGAAGAACCCTGAGTTAATGCAGCCTTCACAATGCATGAGAGTGATGCTGACATTAAGGAGCGAAAGCTGAAAAAATGCAACAGCTCAAGAATCTGACTTCTCCAAAAGCCTACCCTGACCAATAACAGGCAAAGACTTGCACAGAAACCACCTCACCTGAACAGCAGGGGCTGAACCCTACTGCAAAAACAGATAACTTAGTGACTGAAATGTCAAAAGAATAAAACACAAAATCCTCAGGAAACAAAGCAGGCAAAAATGGGGAGGATGACAAAAGGACAAGAACCAATCTGAATCCAAGACCAGCACAGCCCACTGGCCAGATGGATGAACAGAAGAGAAGCCTGCTACCACCTCCCAAATGAGAGGAGCAAGCAATTTTAGCAGTGCCTCTGAGGCCCCAACCACAAGCAACAAGGACATAATTGTATGCACATTAGCTAAGGCATCCAAGCTGCCACAGAGTTGACTGAAGAATAGCTCCACTACAGCCCAAACATGCAAAACTATGGCCAAGTGCATACAAGCCCTGTAATCCTCCACAACATCAGGCGCAGAAAACAAAGGCAACTGAACACACATAGCTTCCACGCACCTACATCCTGGGGCAAGGATGGTTCAAACAGGTAAGACTTAGGTGACGTAAAGGCAGCACCACCCAGAAAAGTGCGACCAACTGAACTCACCTAATGCCACTTGAGCATTCAGGTATAGCAAAAGCCATGCTAGTCCCCAAGAAGAAGAGAGGCTGCCTGTAAGCCAAGATGAATCAGGAACTTTCATATCACAGCCAAGAAGACATGGTCAATCCAAATTCAAAAGACAGATCACTCTAATTGATCTTAAAGGAGGAACCGAAAAAAGGAGTCGAGTAGGATGCAGAGGGTAAAAGACGAGAATTCATAAACCTTCACATATACAATGCCTCCAGAGACTCTACTTGAATTCAGAATCCAGAAACACAGGAGAATCCATCTCAAATAATTGTGAGGTACAACATATTTTCCATATTAACTTCATACTCATTCTCAGAAAACCAACTCCAATAAGGGTGAAAAGGCACCCAAATACAGAATTTGGGGTCTCCCCAGCCATGGATACCCTGAGATATGGGGGACACCAGAGTAGAGCGGAGATCTACACCATACACACATGAACAATAAAATCACATTAACTTTGTGCATAATTGAGAAAATCAGTAGAAGCCATGAGGATGATTCAAACCCACTCACTTGGTAGTCCAAGTAAAGGCCCCATACCATTACATCACAAGATCAAAAGTAATGCAACCTGGGATCCCACTGAATCCTTTAGAGGTCCTGAGACTTTCAAATGAAGCACAATCAGGGTTTTAAACATAGCCCTCATGCACTCTGGCTTATGGTCAAGTAGCCTTCTTGTCAAATGCATAATGAAATGACATTAACATGATGTATCATTTAGAAAATCAGTAGGAGCCATGAGGAGGATTCAAATCTGCTCACTTGGTACAGGTACTCCTAAGTTTTTCCCACACCATATAAATAAAATATAAATATGTTTATTCAGGTAAGGTACATACATACAAGTGATGTTACATTAATGGATCGATATATAGAAAGAGCTAGTACATACAATGCCTAAAGCCACTATTACGCAATGCGTTTCTGGCAGAAGAAGACTGAGATATGTAAAGGACAGAAAAACGTCTCCCAACAGGTAAGGATCCATAGCCGTAACAACCCCAAGAAACAAAATGCAGCAGATCCTCTATGGGAAGCAGCAGTTCAACTACCTCTACCATGGAAGTGGAAGGGGTAATCTCTAAGAGAAGGCCCAAACACGTGTAAAGTATCATCACCCCAAGACATTTTGGAACTGAGATCAAAGGGGAAGGTGGACCTCAGGCCCACCAAACACCACCAGACAAACCCCAGGAAAGGAGATAAGAGGAGCAAATGTGGAAGACGTAGAAAACACCAACTGCTCCAAGAATGGGTCCTGAAATGCAAAGAAGCCAACCCTGGGGCACACATCAATGACCACAAACATTGCAGGCCTCAGGATGGAACATATACCCCACCCAACATGTGGCATGATAGAGACAGTAAGAATTGGATTATATAAAAACTGAGACACATCGTGCAAGCTCACACCCTGTGAAGGTAAAATTGGAGGTCTGGTCTATAATAAACCTTCCAAAAACTGCAAAGAGCTTCCCGTGTTCCAAAGGATACAACAAGCAGAAACATCAGGTACAATTGTCACTCGCCAAATATAGTAAACAACAAATACAGCCTAGGGTCAAAAGTGGATGTAAAGGGCATGAGCAGTGTCGCATAATGAACACACAACCTGTGAGGCTCTCAAGCTAAAATCAGACTGTTGCCATCTACAAGGCCTTGCAGAGGAGTTAAAAGACCCATGCACTGTCAAGGGAAGATATCTTCCAACAGGAAACTGGCTACCAGAGACAGCCACACAAAACCCTCAGAGAAAAACTGACCAGGCAGGAACAATGCCAGCAAACGCCTAGAAACGAGAACTCTAGGCACATTCAGTCTGAGGCAAACAATTAATCAGAATTCAAGCAAGAAATAAGGCATAAATATATATGCAGCATAAAGTAAATACTAAAGCACAAACAAATACACATGCAAATGGCCCAGGCAGGACAAAAACAGTGTCAGGATGGCCAGGAAGGCTTATTTGAAAAGCCAGAACCTGAAGGCTGCTGGGGTGAGAAGAGGAGCATAACAATGAACATTATTAATGTAAGCATCAGGCAATATGACTTTGCTTCAAGGATGATGGAGTGAGGAGGAAGTTGCACACTTCCCTGGTGGTGCACATGTGGAACTAACTTGAGAATTGTTTTACCAAGTAATTTGTGAATCTTGGGATTTTGCTCTCCTGTTTACATCTTGTTTATCTTGCTCTTTGTCTATTTTGGTTTGCCCATATTTCTGGAGGCCATTTCTTGGTCTGAGTGATCTACAATCCCCTAATGCTAGGGACACTTTAGTGGGGTCAAGCTTTGACATCTGATCTCCAGCAGGCTTGTGTATGACTCTCAAGGGCTGGCATGGACTGAATTAAATGGAGCTTGACTGAATGAAATGGAGCTTGCCAGGTAGCAAACACCAAAGAGCCACCATTAAGAAGCTCTCCCAGAAAAAGCTAGTTAATGAAGAAAATTAAGCTCAACTGAAAATTGAATTACTGTACAATATAGTTAATGATAATATGTACATATGAAATTATATTATATTTGGCATTACAACAACTTATCTAAATTAAGTAGAGTATTACAGCAACTGCAAGTTTTTATTTTTTTATTTATACTGTATATACAAGTTCATACATTCTTGCACAGCCACTAGCAAGCATAGTGTTTCGGTCAAGTCCTTAATTCTAATTAATCCCAAGTAATATAAAGATGAATTCAAAGTGGAAATTGTTTCATTACAAAATAAATTAGTAACTTGATAATGATACACTTCATTATCAAGTGTGTGATACATCACACACTTCAAGATAAAATGATCTCACATTTCAGTTCTAGCTCATTTTCTGACAGAAGAAAACTGCTGCAAGATAAATAAGAAAGAAAATCCCAGGGTTTTTCTCACTCAAACTAAAATGACATATTCATTTAATAAACACAACAGACAATTGACTAGGAGGAACTTTTAATCCTGCAACTTCAAGAACAAGAGGCATAGATTTAAGCCAAGGAAACAAAATTGCCCCAAAAATATACTGTTTACCTCTGTGAACAGAATTTTGATAGTTTGAACAATTAGTAAGAACGTAGTGGATGTTAAAAACATCAGTAGATTCAAAGTACAAAGTTAAAGGGGAAGACAGGACACCATGAATGAAACTCTCGTCTTGAAACTACACATAGGTAATTACACACACATGCACACACATGTATGTGTGTGTGTAGACATACGCAGAATAGACCTAAACTGATTTAATGCAAGAGGTATTTAAATTTTAGCTCTGTGAGCTCTTCAAATGAATAAGGTCACATTAAGGATGAGAAATAAAGGGAAAGGATATGACAGTTGTGATGAGACAGTAGAGTAGGCCTAGTATGAGAAGATGGAGCAACATTGAAGTCTAATTAAAGAATTTAATATTCTTCTCTGGATTGATAATCAGAGAAAAACTGAGGAAATTAATAAAAATAACACCAGGCACAAAATTACAAAATTATCTGCTTCTAAAGGTTGCTAGGCTGATTTATGAAGTAAAACATAACACATTTTAGAAAATAGTATTAGGACCTCCATTATTGTGCCCATCCTAAAGCTTCTTGAGGACAAATTTGTAAGCCAAAGATTTTGAGCCCCAATTTATTAGTTTAGTGATAATTTTCAGTTTAAACTGTCAGTAATTAAATTAAATATATATATTTTTCAAGAGAGATTTGGACTTTCATGAACTCATCTATTATTCATGTTACAGTACAGTACTATATTAAAACAAGTTCCCAATCAACTCATTCATGGTAGGGACAGGAGAACAACACTAAACTAAGTGTCGCACACTGTTTAAATGTGTTCCTTGCAGATCATCTTCCTTGATGATCTCCCATCTTCCATCTACACATCTTCCTTGCAGATGTGTTTAAACAAATACTGGGACTGTACTGCACATTATTTTTCCATCACAAAAAACTATTGACTTAATTCACATAAATGCATGATTACCAGTATATAAATCCCTGATATTTTTCTTTACTTTACACCAGCTACTCATATGATCCTTTAACTTGGCTACCCTAGTGAAAGACTTTTCACATCCCTGGCATTTATACCTACTGTTTTCATTCAAATATATCTCCCTACCCAGTGGATTTGTAACATTACTGCTCTTACAGGTATTTTTTATTTTTCTTGTCTTTTTATTTTTCTTATGAGTCACACTTGTGTTTGACACTGGAGTAGTGCTTGTATTGCTCTTGTCAGTTTGCAGTTTTTCATTCAGTTTTTCTTCTGGGTGTAATTTACTAACATGTTCATTCAACTTTGATATATTTGATAACTTTTCACCACAAAATGAGCACTTGCAATATTCTATTATAAAATTGGCCATATCCTCTGTCTCCTCTTTAATCAAAGGAGGAAAATTAGTAAGTTCTTGCTTCTTTAAAGGTGTTTCCTTAATAAGCTTGCTTAGACATTTTGTTTTCACTTTCACATCTTTTGTCAAATCAAAATTGTCACCTCTGCAATTCAATGGTAAACTTTCTTCTTCAAAATTATTTCTGTGGCTCATGCGTTTATGAAACTTCAGGGCTGAAGCTCTTCTAAAAACCTTTCCACAAATATTACAAATATTTCCAGAAATTCTATTTCTTCTTAAGTCTTTCCCACTGTCTCCTAATTTGCTACATGATTCAACACAGTTAGATAATTCACTTATTCCTTTAAATATTTCAAAACTTTTTTCATTGCATGTTTTCATGTCAATTTTGGTATGGCTACCATTAAAAATTCTTTGATATTCAGTATGATCTGTGTTATCAATGTGGTTTCCAGTAATTTCTTTACCAGTTTCTTCTTTGCAACTTATGCTAGGTATCAGAATGTTTGGTGAGGCTTCATGAGTAGCACATCTGCTACAGATGTGCTTCTCCTCTTCAGTGATAGATTTTCTTACATGATTGTAATTTTTCCTGAAAGATCTTTTACACACTTCACATTTTTTAAGTCTATTTTTATTGGGTATACACCTGTGAATTCTCAAAGAACAAATAGGGATGTCTTTTCCACACTTGTTACAGTGTTCTTTTTTCTCGTCTTTCATTATTTCAGCATCTTTTTCAGAGATTTTATGCTCTATTGATACTGAAACACTATTTTCAATACTTATCACAACAGTATCATCATTCAAATTACCCATCTCTTCAAGGAATATAAATTCTTTGTCTGGCAAATGTGTGTTTTTTTGCTCCTTCATCACATGGGCTTTTCCTTGGTGATACTTTTTTATGTGATACTTAACTGCAGAAGACTGAGTAAATGCTGCAGAACAGCCACTACATTTAAAAGGTTTCTCACCAGTATGCATCTTCACATGATCTTTTAGGTGAGAAATTTGGCGAAATGCACTTCCACAGTCATTGCATTTGTATGGTCTCTCATCTGTATGCATTCTCATGTGTGTCTTAAGATTAGAATTCTGTTTGAAGAACTTTTTACAAACTGTACACTGGTATTGCTTAGAAATATTTGTAGTGATGCTGCCATTTTTTACATTTTCAGAAGGTTTTGAATCATCTTCAATAGAACCTTTGTTAATGTTTAACTGGTCATTATCTAAAGTGATGACTGGTTTCATTATGTTTTCTTTAACTTCATCACTACATGTGACATCATATTTACCCTCAAACTTTATTTCATCCAAAACAAATGACTCCTCTTTATTTAAACCAATAATATAATCGCTATGTGAACTTTGTTTATGAAAATTTAAATCTTTAACACTTTTGAGCTGTAACCCACACACTTCACATATGCCCCAATTGTCAACGTGAAGCTTGTTGTGCTTCCTCAAGCTATTTTTTGTCTTGAAAATAGCATCACATTTGGCACATTTGTTTTGTGTTTCATCTGCATGTGTTTTCATGTGCTGTTTTTTATAGCAAGAATCAAGAAATGTTTTATCACATATTTTACAATAAAAATTTCTAACAAAGCATCTCTTGATAATTTTCTTTTTCTTTACCTTGCCTTCAATGTGCTGTGTCCTCTGATGAGATCTTAATCTTGAAGACTGTTTAAATGCAGCATTACAAAGACTGCACTTGAATGGTTCTTCTCCTGTATGTATTCTGACATGAGCTTTTAAATGGGCTAATTGCTTAAATCCAATTCCACAATAATCGCAGTAATATGGTCTTTCTCCCGTATGTGTGCGCATGTGAATAATGTAATTAGAAGATGTCTTGCAATTCTTGCCACAGTGTTGGCATTCATACGATTTTGGAACTCTTATTTTCTTATCAACCATTTTCTTTTCTTTTTGTTGAAATTTAATAGATTTGTTTGTGTGTAGTTCGTGTATAATAACCTCTTCCTCTGTTGACACCTTTTGCTTTTTTTGTTTCTTAGCATTATCAATTTCTTCAACAGGAAGTAACTCTTTTTCAGACTCAAATGCAACTTCCGCTACAGAATCTAAATCATTATCCCAAACAAGCAAGTCACAATTATCATTTCTCAATACCTCACTTTCTTGTAATACCACAGATTCAGATAGAGTAGGTGTCTTGGGTAGAGGCATTGGAGGAAAAGTAATTAATGTATAATCTTTTTCTGCAAGAGCTTTGGGTAGTACTATTAAGTATCCTTGTCCATCCTCTCCTTGAGACTCTAGCACAGTGCCTGTGGCTAGTGCATCTCGTACAACATCAGGATGAGGAATATTTGTCATCTCTTGTTCAACCTCTGTCATAACATTGTTAGCACAATCAACTGAAGGTTGATTGTTATTGGTAAAACATAAATCTAGTTCATGTGGATGTGTATTTTGATTGCATGAACATGCATCAGAGGATGACTTTGTGATTTTGCTTTTAAAGTTGTTTTCTTTAGTTAATTCATGCTTATGTCTACATTTTGAATTTTCAGCTAAACATTTCTTAGTATATATGTTTTCATTGAGAATTATATCCATAGAATTTTCAGTATTTTGTACTGACTTTATTATTTGAGGTACATACCTGTAGGTACCATTAGTATTGTGTACCTTCTTGTGTAATGACAAGCTATTCAGTCGCAAAAATACTTCTCCACACATACTGCAGGAATAAGGTCCTCGAGGAAGATGGGTGCCCATATGAGCTCGTAATGTTGTTTCCTCACGAAATGATATTCCACATTCCTCACATTGAAATGGCCTTTCTCCAGAATGTATCATTTGATGGCGTTTAAGTCTAGCTGCAGTTATAAATTTATCCCCACATTCAGAGCATTCATAGCACTTATCTTTGTGTTTTTGAAAATGGATTCTTAACTGCAAATCATCCGAAAAAACTCCATAGCATATCTGACATTTATAATTCTTTACTTCATCATGAACTTTTGTATGTGATTTTAAAGCAGATTTTGTTGTAAATGTATCCTCACATAGTTCACACTCAAAAGGTCTCTCACCAGTATGTGTGCGTATGTGTTCAGTCAAATGATGAGACTGACGAAAAGTCATGTTACAATATAGACAACTGTGAGGTTTCTCTCCAGTATGAGTCATTACATGATTTCTGAGACTAGAAGCTGTCTGCAAAGAGATTCCACAAACTTTACAAATATATTTTGAAAATTCTTTGTTTGATTTTAACCTAATATGCTTTCTTTTATGTCCTCTTGTATTGTGAATTGTTTGTGTATCTTTACCTTCCGATACTATTTCTTTAATACCAAATTCAAGAAATTCATAATCAGCCTCCAAATTGTGTGCAATCTCTGGGTATTCAATCTTCATTATAGCATCTTCTACCACAGATGAGCAAGCTCCATTTTCCAAGAACTGACTTTTAACTGAATTTACTGTTTCTTGTGAGTATTGGATTCTCTTCTGCTTTGAGCCCATTATATTTGTAGCTATAAAAGTTTTATCTGCAGTTGTACTCTGCAGAAAATCTTTGTTTGGTGTGGCTTCCTTTGCATTTGGTACAAACATTCTTAAAATTTTGGAATTATCATTCAATTTTTCACAACCCCTTATTTTTTCTTCATAAGTATTTGGCCTTACAACTTTCTCTTTCTTCCGTGTAAAATCTAAGCTGTTTGATAAATTCATACTGTACTTAATTTTTTCTTTCTTTCAACTGTATTATAATTTACAGTTCATTGTTTATACCACAGACTAAAGTAAATCCAGAAATGATTCTGGAATATTATACAAAACACTTTTCACTAATGAAATAATGTACGTCCACTGATGATTATTTGGGATGTCGTGAGCTATGAACAGCTTGAAAAGACTGGTCAATAACACACAGGTATCAAGTGAAGCAGATCTCTGGAGATTTCCTCATCTGAAAGAAAAATTATTATGATAAAATAAAATAAATATAATAAAATTATTAAATTATTATAAAAATTATACATAAATTACAATTTATTATGCAAATTTACAAGTTTTTTAGCATAAATAAATGCTACTGAAAAGTACAATATATCAGAAAATGCTATTATAGTTGTGGTCAGTCAATATGTTTACACAATACTGTACTGTATATGTAAATACTGTACTGTACTTGTGACTTTATCTACCAACATCATGCACAAAATTATCTGAATGAAAATGTTAGTTTCTTGAAAGAAATAATAAATGTCTATTACTCCTCTCGGTGGGTCAACGACGTTGTTCAGTGTACCAATGATGTGGTGCAATGGTGTTGTCCAATGGTTTTGCACAGCAGTGTGTGCGAATGGTGTTGCACAGCAGTGTGTGCAAATGGTGTTGCACAGCAGTGTGTGCAAATGGTGTTGCACAGCGGTATGTGTGAATGAGGTTGCACAATGGTGTGGGCTAATGGTGTTATGAAGTGGTGTGGACCCAAAGGTTGTGCAGTGGTGTGGCCAAAGGATGTGGTACTGTGGACTGATGGGAAAGATTTGTGGATAATTTGCACATCACTTGTTTAGTCAGATTAAGCACTGTTGTGTCCAGATAGTAACTACAGTATTTAAGTGACAACATTAAAGCCTCACCCTGGTTAGAAGAACCTCAATAAGTTTAATAGGCTTCCTCGCCATGAAGATGGTATGGAAAAGTCTGGCTATCAATGCTGAAAAAATATACTGTGCTATATAGTGCTTGTACTGTTAGAACAGACCAGAAAACATCAGGAACTCTTAGAATATACTTTACTTCAATAACACCGGTATTGAAACCTGAAAGGTATCTGATATGAAATAACTGGAATGCAAATTTGAGCTTTCGTTTTCCATAATCCTTGAGTTTGTTTCTAAAGAAATTAAAAAAAAAACAGCATTGACTGTAATGAAATCCCTCTTTCTGATACAGTCTTCGTGACTCCTTGAAGCTAGCTTTTTTTTTACATAGCTCTGCACAGATGAATCACATCAACCTTAGGAGTCCTGAATGGCCTACAGGGACCAGAGCCAAAACCTGACCCCCCTTCCCCATCCCTCTTAAAGAAGCACAGGGAGCAAAGGATTATTACGATGACCGTCACTGAGAAAACATCCAAAAAGTATGTGAAGCAATATAGACAAGTGCATAGTTAACGCAAAGAAAACAACTGAAGCACCAAATGACCCTGTAAATGATACTCAACAGCTAGAGTCGCCCTCCCTAGTTACTGTTGACCATTAACAGGTAGCAGCACCACCAAGATCTCCCTCCTGTATCATCAGAACTTCAGTCAGGATATGAAAGACCACAAACTGACACTGGCATTGTTTTAAGAATAAACCAATAGACTAAACATGTTTTTTATTTATTTTATATATTAATATATACAAGAGTTCTTACATTCTTGTAAAGCCACCAGCCCGCATAGCGTTTTGGGCAAGTCCTTAATCCTAATTTTCCCTAGAATACGACCCGCCAAATTGCTTAACAACCAGGTACCCATTCACTGCTGAGTGAACATAGGCTACAGTTAATGATTGGTGACCAGTAAATCCTCCCAGGTCAGGATACAAACCCAGGCTAAAGCACTTGCGAAGCCTTGTCTTACCACTTCACCATGGGGATGTGTTTCCCTTCTACCTAAAACATAACAAAAGACAACATCTGTAATGAAATACTGATACATCTTGCCATTCCTGGGAATGGAACCAAGGATTAATCAGTTACAAGTTGACTTTGCTCACCAGGTCACACTTAATTATGAGACAACTGCTGTCACCTCCCACAGCCTCATGTTTACATAAAAAAAAAGTCGCATAATGTCACGTATATGGAGTCTATAACTAAAACCTATTAGAGGATACCTGTTTTCTCTGAATATAAATACTGAAGGCCTATGCTGAAAAAAAACTTTGAGCACTGGGATGTCAGCCTGGAACAAACCTCTGCCTTAAATGGTCTCAGCATCTACAATATACATGTTTGACAAATTTTTAAGCCTTAGCACTTGCCTTCAGCCCCGCCTCGCGTGGACATGAGATAAAAGTACTAAATATTTGCAGAGATTCGTAAGAGTTCCCTTTCGTCTTCATAGTACGTGCAATATACATTAAGGTATTAACCTCAAGATGACTGCACGGGGGATGCAGTTATTGGGAGACGCGTCACTCACACTGGAACATTAGTACTTATGATTTTGAAATGTTTGAAAGCTGTTGTCAGTTTATGCAAGGATGACTACGTTAGACTTGACGCTTGCGGTGAGGACTTGTGGTTGTGTTGATGGCGTCAGCTGATCGTTACTGTTCTTTGTAACTAGGGTTACGTTTTCTATGTATGATGGCCCGGGCGGTCTGAGTCTCCTGAACACAGGTTGCATGCGACCAAATTTTTTGGTTGACTGGAGATATAATCAATAATAATCCATTGTGTGGTGGGTCAGGCAGCCAGTTTATACATACAGTACATGTTAGGCTTATATCAATATTCACCCCACCCCCCATCCCCGAGGGGCGAATTAACAACTCGGTGCTAAATGCTTAATGCACAGACTCTGTGCATTAAGCATTTGGCACTGAGTTTTCCCACATAACAGGGCCTGATGAAAAGAACGCGAGAGGTCCCTCACTATCTCATTGCCTGGAGAGGAATGGAGTTCTGGTTGGTTAAATACCCCAAATTCCTACCTCTAATTTCCTACCTATGCCCATCGTGCCCATGAAGAGGCACCCTTCCTGAGTCCCCGGGCTGGACAGAAATGGTACAGCAGATTTCCTTTCACCTAATGTCCTGTTCACCTAGCAGCAAGTAAGTACTCAGGGGTCAGTAATTCGACCCAGTAACTTCGATAAGAGCCTATAACGTGTATGAATACACTCTGGCTTTCTGTCCCTCGACACAGTAAATTATTATTTTTATTCTTACAATAGCATGTTGAAGATATATGGTAGAGAGCGAGCACGGTACCAGGAATTAATAAGGGTCAGGCGACGAGACCCAGTGTTGCCAGATTGGGCTACAAATAGCGAATTGGGCTACTTTTGAGAGCCCCGCGCTCCCAAATTTTTAATTTCGCTACTTGCTACTTTTTGGGCTAATTTAAAAGCAAGATGTGCTAATTTGGGCTATTAATGTTAAGAATGTACGATTGCGAGTTACATGAAAGTAACTAAGCTATAAATAATTGTAATTAATAATAATTGTAAATATTAAATAATATTATTTAATAAATTAGTCCCAATTCAATGCAGAGTTTTCTTCCAAGCACAGAAACTTGTAAATATAAATACAAGATAATAGATAGATCGATAAATAAATAGACAACTTTCAAATATTGCACCAAGTAATGGCGAGAGGAAAAAACTAGACAGTATACATTTCATTTGAAATTAATAATGGATGAATGATAATAAATTGGTGTATGTTTGTATGTATACCAGACAAAGTCCATTTAATGGCAGAATTTAGCCATTTTGTGTAAAAACTTTTATATCTAACATTATTAATTATAACAGTAATCGAAAAAAGTCATAGTTTGTATATTACAATAGATGAAACAGAGAGCCATGAGCTAGAGCGATGTGCTGAGTCCATAAGGAGGCCGAGCTTCCAGAAATACCTTCCTGTGATTGGCTGTTGCAGGGAATACCAACACTCATTTATGAATAAAATTTAAACTAAGAAATAGGTCCTTGTGCACAACAACAAGGGTGTTGTGAAAAAAAACAACAGTTTCTGTTTTGCACCTGACAGAAATCTCCATCTAACTGAATAATTTACTCGAATAAGAGGGCACACCAGTGTATCATTATTTGTGTGAGGCAACCCCCACTGATGACGTTACAAGTCAGGTAGCCAGTCCATGTTTCTGTAACACCCGTTACATCCTTCAGTATTTAATTATCACTATATTAATACTTTTAAATACTTAACATTTCACTTTTTAGATAGATTAAAGTTGAAGCAGAATGTCATAAGCAAGGATGGTGTGCTGAATAAAGATGATTTATTAAGTGGATGGAGCCTTTAGCTGATCCCTTCCTGTGATTGGCTGTTGTGTGAATGTCAACAAAGAGTTTCTACCAATGATATGCCATCATTTTTTTTATTATGCACCCCATACCCTTTTGTGGCCGGAGCTTGGAAACTTCCTACCCGAGAACAACAACCCGCCTTATGGGTTGCTGTTTGGCTATTTATAGTGCGTTGGGAAAAACAGATGGCGTTAGTTGTATTTTGTGGGGTAATTTGTTATAAGTGTAATTTGATGTCAACAGATGGCGTAAACTGTATCTTATGGTCACTGTTGACCTGCCAGTTGATAGTGTTCTTATGTGCCGACAGATGACATCAGCTGTATTATTATTATTTTAATAATATTATTACATTAATAATAATGTATTATTATTATTTAAACACTGATCTATACGTCTGGTAGCTTATAATAAGGTTTTATACCATGCTGGTATTAGGTAACTAGAATTCTGCAATTACTTTTTTTTATCTACTGTTGAGGATATGTAAGACAAATGTAAGGTTTTGAGGCTAAGTAACGAAGAAAGTTACAAGATACGAGCCAGATGGTGTTGAGATTGCAAAAGGGATTATGATAAGAACTTAAGCCAAAAAATCGATGCATAAATGTTCGCAAATATGAGACTGGGATTTATTTCTCGAAAAGTTAGCAATAAAATATGCTTTCTAGTTCTTTATTTTTAAAATTAAGACCAGGGATTCTGTCTAACGAAGCTGCAAGCTAAAACACCGTTATCCTATAATGTTCATCTGTAGCTTGACCCTAAATACTCGTTTATTAAACGAATTTATTGTTAGAGTTCATTAGGAATCAACTTTGTTGAAGGCAGAGTTTCCAACAAATACCTTCCTGTGATTGGCTGTTGCGGGGAATGCCAACGCTTATATGAATAAAATGCAAACTAAGAAATACGTTCTTTTGCTCAATAACCTTGTTGTTATACAAAAGAACAACAATTTCTGTTTTATACAAGACAGAAATGTCCATCTAACTGAATATCGTAGACCAATAAGAGGGCGGAGGCATTGTATCGCCGATATTATTTGTGTGAGGCAACCTCCACTGATGACGTCACAAGTTAGGTAGCCAGCCCGTGTTTCTGTAACACTCGTTACGTCCTTCAGTATTTAATTATTACTATATTAATACTTTTAAATATTTAACATTTCACTTTTTAGGTAGATTAAAGTTTAAGCAGAATGTCATAAGGAAGGATTGTGTGCTGAATAAAGATGATTTATTAAGTGGATGGAGCCTTTAGCTGATTCCTTCCTGTGATTGGCTATTGTGTGAATGTCAACAAAGAGTTGCTACCAATGATATGCCATTGTTTATGCACCCCAGACCATCTGTGGGCGGAGCTTGGAACTTCCTACCCGAGCACAACAACCCACCTTATGGGTTGCTGTTTGGCTATTTATAGTGCGTTGGAAAAAACAGAGATGGCGTTAGTTGTATTTTGTGGTTTAATTTGTTATAAGTGTAATTTGATGTCAACAGATGGCGTAAGCTGTATCTTATGGTCACTGTTGACCAGCCAGTTGATAGTGTTTTCTTCTGCCGTTATTATTACTTCCGAATTCCCTTTAAACACTGTTCTACAAATCCCTTCCTTGGCTTAATTATGATAAGGTTTTATACTATTTATGATAAGTATTAGATAACTGGAGTTCCGCAATTACTTTTATTTATCAACTGTTCAGGATATCATCATATAACGTCTGATTAGGATGTACTGCAATCGATTGATGAAGATTAAGCCACCCAAAAGGTGGCACGGGCATGAATAGCCCGTAAATACTGCTCTCGTAATATTATTCAGGGGGGGTGGGGGAACTATCAAGTGAAAGCGCCAAGCCATTACGGCTATATAGCACTCTTAAGGGATCAGGATACGGATTTGAGATGGAACGGGGGAAAGGAATGGTGCCCAACCTCTTGGGCGGTCGGGGATTGAACGCGGACCTGTAGGAAACGAAACCGTCGCTCTACCGTCCAGCCCAAGTGGTTAAGCGTATTATTAAAACAACAATTTATGCATATAATAACAGCATTTCACACTAAAAATACTTGGATATATTGAAATTTGGTAGTGAATTGAAATCTAGGAATCAAGTTCAATTCAAGTTCAAGTTCAAGTATGTTTATTGAGACAAGAAAAAATACATCTCAAAGGGATAGAGTAGCTTAAGCTATTTTTACCCCCCTCTACTTCAAGTCCCTCAAGGGGCGCACAAATCTCCTATGACTAAACTGTACTTTTTAATCATTTTTATGTACTTGCTACTTATTATTAAATTATTAAGTACTTACTATGATAATTAAATAAATTGGTTTATTTAATATTTAAATTAAATGATAAAATAATAGGTAATAATAAATCATTGTGTAGGGGACAGGCAGCCAGTGTATATATACATGTTAGGCTTATACCAGGGTGCCACAAAGGTGCCAAATTAAAGACTGGGTGCTGCCGGGGCGGGCCCAAGGGCTGCTGGCGGCCCTGGCCAGGCTGAACTTCCGCGCCCTTATAATCACCATTGTTTAATAATCTTCACAGGGAGAAACAACTGTAAATATAGGAATAGTTTATTACAACATACACGGTAAAGAAAACAGCTCGGAAACTATGGAAATAAAGCTGCCGAAAAAACATTAAAGTCCACTTCAAGTTCAAGTATGTTTATTGAGACAATAAAAAAAATACATCTCAAAGGGATAGAGTAGCTTAGGCTATTTCTACCCCCTTTCCTTCCACTTCAAGTCCCTCAAGGGGTGCACAAATTCAGTGAGTATAAATACACAAATCACAATACAAGAATCCCATTTAACATAGCAGGTTAAAATAGGAAGCACAGCATATAAGTGTTACAAGTTACAAGGGAACAAGTGAGAAGACGGTGGAGGCCAAAACCGGAATTGCACACTGATTTTAATGCAGATATGTCGTGATTATCATAATATTAAGATGTTAAGGCACGAAACTAGTAAGTACAATTTCAGAACCAAACGATGCCAACACAGAATGCACTTATGCACAAGTGGCCAAGGAGAAGGAAAAAATAGAAGCAGTAAAGAAACGTGCAAATTGTATAAATAAGTGTAATACATTCTATAGTAATTCACTTTTTTTCTTCACCTTGAAATACCGAAAATGAGTTTTGGAGAACTCTTCTTTCAGCTAAGCCCTGATGCTAGGAAAATAGTTATAGGGATAGAAGCCCTAAACCAGAAGATAGTAAATACTGAATATGCGGTCATA